TTTGCCGACCAACGGACCCCGATTCACGTTTTCTTTACCGACCTCTTAACCACAAAACTCTTGCAAGACAGTTAAAAATAGGCTAACAAACATCTGTGCGACTACAGGGGGATTCTTGACTATTCTCACGCAATACATAATTTTCCAGTTTTGCATTTTCGAGTTAGCGTCTAAATCGAGTCCCTCATAAAGTTATTTCTAGCCCTATGACTATCATCTGGGAAAAAATTCTATGAGACAACTATGAGTGGCCCCCTACGAACCTCTAGCTCTCACTGTAGAGTCTGCTGCTTCGAGAGTGAGAAGCACCTCCGTCCTCACTTCGATAAGCGTTCCCAATGGCTTTCGTGGTCTGTATCGTCTTTATCCCTCGCCACAATCGCCTATCACCATTATCATGAAGCTAACCACGATCAGATCAGATGGTAGGGTCGGAGCCCTACTCATCACCAATCCTTGATCATGGAGGAATAGCTATCTGATGAGGTTCCGGAGCGTACCCAGCACCCGATACGGAGATGGCGGATTGGATCAAGTCGGCCTCGATCGTTACAAAGAAGAGAGAGATAGATGGATGTGCGCACCTCATGTGGTCCCGGTGTCTAGGCCTCGCCTGGCTGGGGCTGCAGACTTTTTGAGACTTTTTCCCGCGCACGTAGTTTCCATTGCTACTATTTTTTTTGGTTTTTTTGTGTAGAAGGTTCCGTAGAAAAAGTGGCCGAATTCCCCGGTAAACACTGAGCTGAATGGCTCTTCATTGTGTGCAATATTTCAATGATCTTAGAAGTAACAAAAGAGGCAAGGAGCACTGTACAAGGTACAAGGTACGGCCTGGGCTAGAGAGGAGCCTAATGTGCTAGATATTCTTTGACTCAAGTAGCACAATAAAGCCAGCCCAATCTTTAACTCACTGAGACGAGGATTGTCGATTGACCTAATGACCTAATGACCTAATGACTTGATGATCGTTCATCTATTACCTTGGAAATAATGACTAGCTGCATTGATGAGTAAGGAGTTACCAGCTTAGGTATGACACTTTGAAAGAGGGATTACTTCTGTCTAAACGTGTTTCTTAGAGGTAGAAAAGGGATCAGGATATATGTTAACCATCAATCATTATAGATACTGTTACAATCTTGTGACATAAATATCATACGAGTATTCCAACAGGTATTAATCGTCCAAGATATGTCTGACGAAATCTATTGGTTTTGGGATCTCCGACGACCTTCTCATTTAGATAAGATGAGAAATTAAGTTGGAGTGCACGATAGTGTTGGGGAAACTGCAATTTTATGTAAATGGAGAGGTTTCTCACTGCAAAGATAGAATGAAGGAATAAAAGTTTATTCATGACGGGCACAAGCCCTGCACTCAAAGAGCATGACACGGGGAAGACTAGCTTCTCCGGCAACTATAGACGTCGATAACTCAGTTTGACATTTGAACTACTCATGTAGTGGTTGCATTCGCTGATACCACTTAACACCTTGGTGCTAGGGACTTTCACCCATCCCTCAATCGTTAATATCCGCCAAAGTGGAAACAGGAAAAACCTCTGGCTACCATAACATGCCTTTTTCATCTTGTATATAGCCGCCGCGCGAGATATGGCCTCGCAGTCCTCCCTTTCTCGAGCGAGGTAGGTGTCTAGGCTACCCAGACTTTAATTCGGGGAGATGACGACCAGGAGGCGGACCAAAGCACCTTCCATCGTTGCCTATTTTTAGAGTGGCGGTTGCACTATCCAAAATTGTTGCTTCTGCACTCACAGACAATCTTAAGTCGAAAATACTCGAAAAACGTGCGTTCCAGCATGCCCATTTGTGACCTTTCCAATCGTTTGTCCTACGTACCAGCTGCCTGTCCTCCCTCAAGATGTGAAGCCCCATTAGAGTAACGGTCCTCCACAGACCAAGACTCGAGCCTTGTAGATTATGACTTAATTTCCTCCTCGGGGGTATACATAGCATCGTAATTTTGTAGTGGAAGATGGCCAATTTTTTATGAGGCAGATGCCCGATTGCAATTGGAGTAACGCCATTATCGGTATTTGAGGCGAGGTGGTGTAGTAATCTTGAGGTGGAGGACTCGCGTGAAAATGATAGGTCCGACTTTGACGAGAAGTCGTCAAATGGAGATACGCTTGAGGTTGCTTTAGACTTAGATTCGGATGCGATCCTTCTTGGCTATCCATGATGCGTAGAGCATACTGAGCGATTACACCGGCACCACTGGAAGGTGAAGAGTTCATCTTTGCTAGCGCTGCACAGATAGAGATAACGAGTACTTTGATTACAATTGGTTATCCATCGACCGCCAGTAATCTTCATTATAGAGTAAACCAATTCTTCACATCTCTAAATCGTCTTCAAGGCTAGCATGTAATTCTTCCAGTCTTCCAAATTAAATCAAAAGGGCTGGACATCAGCGCTCTGAATCCCTAAGAGCAAGCTTAAGGAGCGGTGGTGTAACGGCTATAAAGCCGGTGTTTCCTGTAGCCAGTACTGGCAAGTACTGGCGTACAACCACCGGGGAACGGGCAGGCGCAAAAGCCACGTAAAAGATACTAGAATCTCCTAAGAAGGGACTAGAAAAGTCTCCATGTGAGTAAGACTGATACTGAACCTTGAAGAAGCTGCTAGAAATGATACCCTTAGAGTAGCAACTGGAATCATGTAGAAATGAGCTGACCATGGATGGAAGAACTTAGAATGTAATAAATCTGTATATACACCTGGATTATTATGTAGAACTTAGGTCTTCATAGTTGAATTATAAAATACCATCATCCATACAAATGCTCCTTGCTTTCTATAGTTGATCTGTCACAGTTGGACGCCCCCAAGCTCTAAGTGATGTATTACACTAAACCGAAATGAAGACCGACTATTTTGGAGATCTAACAACTAGTCTTTTGCTCTCAGTAGAGATTGGGAAAATCTATCATAAGGGAGATGTGAGGATTGAAAGAGTGCGTGAGAAGTACTTGGGTTATTCCCGCTTTCGGGGCTATTTTGGTTTTCGGGTCTGAACTGCTACACTGTTCTTGGTAATCCTTGCTGCTGGAATGAGTAGGGCTATTATGTAGTGATTCCTGCCAGCTCCATCAGTCTTTTGCCCATAGTGGACTTTGGGTTTTTAGCTTGGGACCTTGATAATCCAAAAAATTGAGATCGATATCGGATAGCTAGTATGGAGATTAAAAGTGTGATCAAAGAGAGAGTGAACAATGATATGTGGAAAGATATATTATTTTATTGAAGGATATTATACATGTCAAGATATTTATGGGAAAGTTTGATTAAATGTCTGAAAGAGTCGGGGGCGGCGTTGTATGCAAACTGGTTTTTTTGTTCATCAACGTGCTAGGTATAGTGATTCCCGTTGCACTCCTACTGGAGCTCAAGCACGGGCGGGACCGGGCCGGATCAGGTTAACTACCGTGGAGTACAGATAAATCTCGTCCCACCTAAATGACCGGGCCACCTAAGACTTCACCCATGTGTTGAATCATGTCAAGCCCAATCGTCCAGAGAACCCTCTTTTGGCGCGCCGAAGCGCAAATTCCTCCTCAGCCTCGGCCACTACGCGCCCGAGCCTTTGACATCATTATTGACGCCGAAATATAAATGCCATCCAAGATCTCATCGTTGCTCTAGCCTTGCACCTTCATATCGTACCGTCGGGTTGTTGTCGTCATCGGGGATTTGTGCGATTCCCTCAATGTATCTTATCTTTTCTTCCTACTCTGTACACGTCCTGTTTCCATCATGACTTTCCTCATTGGGGCGTGTGTAAATAGGTGATATTCCGAGTGTGGAGGTGGGTCGCAGGTGTAGAATCGGCTGAGAAATGGATCGTCGCAAATATATATAAGGAGTTTGAGAGATGTCGGGTGTTTTAACACGATTCCTAGACAGACCTAAATCCATTCGTTACTCGTATTTTGATGGTGATAAGTTTTTGTTCAACTTTGTTCTGGCTGTGAAATCTCTGCCGACTGATTTTTCGACCAAAATATCGAGTGCAACTCCTTCAAGTCGAAAATCCATCAAATAAATCTATCCCACCCTTTTTCGTGACTGAATCTCGGTTCTGGGAGAATATTTCACTCCCAGGTTCGTAGAGGGCACTACTGACAGGTGTTTAGCCTTCGCCCTCCTGTATGCAAACCGTGACGCCTAGTAAGCCGATTGATTCCCTGTAGCCTAGGCTATTCAGCACAGACATATTCATAGTATCAGCGCTAAGTTACGCTCATATTGAAAGTCTGGAACTCCCCATGTTTAACCGTGATTGGTAACTAGCCCACGCCTGAATAATACGAGCACGACTGGAGGACATCTACTGTGACGCTCAATGTGAGTCCAAAAGTCTATAATATATTGTAAGATACCTATTTTTTATCTTCCATTTCTAGCTAGAATATCTATTTATATTCCCTAATAGGAAATCTCCCGGAATTTTGGTTTAGCTGGCAGGGTCTTGCCTCTAAGACTTTTTAGTCATGCCCTGGGCGATATCGTCATCAGTTGGTTGTATATAGTCGAGAACGCTTGGTTGTCTAAACTTTTTCAAAGGCAATACTCGGGTAATCCTTGTTAAAAACACGGGGCATCTCTTCTTGCCACATACCAACGTCTTGCCAATCCGTACAGCTGAAGAACTCCCTTATATCAAAGTTGAAGTATATGTATTCATTATCCAAATTTTTCCTGTTTACAGATTTTGAATTAGTTGCCGGTGGAGCGTAGCTTGATTTGATGGGGCTACAATCTTTTGCCTATTTTTTTCCGAGTGCTGTGCTGTCTTAATTTACTATCAGGCCCTAACACTTAGTAGACCGTATAGCACAGATACTGTAACCTTATATACGGGATGGACGTCATGGAGAAGGAATTCATTTACAATAGTAGTGTTGTCACAGACAGGATGATGCCGGAAGTCTTGTCACTCCTATAATACTTCTAGCACCCTTATTGTACATTTATAACTCACCACGTTGTTATCTCTCCAGGCTTAGAGGGTTCAACTCTTATGACTTTATCACAGTTCAACAAACATAGAGGGTCTAAGGCAAGTTTGAGCTAAATAGATTAGCATGTGTCTCGAGGTTGTATGTATAATAAACTGACCTTGCGCATAGTATCCACAGTTGTTTCACCAAGTTCGTGGTTTAGATGATCTCTCTTTACCAGCCCAACACCATGCTCTCCGCTAGCCGTTCCCTCCATTTCAATAGCTCTCTTTACCATACGGTGGACAACTTCTTCCGCCTTTGGGCGTTCCTGTTCGTTGTAAAGAAGAATGGCTATTCAGGTTAGTGAGTTAGACGTAAGGTCTAATAGAGCAAGCTCACTGTGAAAATTACCATCCCCCATATGACCAACGATTGAAGCGAATAATCCAGTTTTTTTAATATCCTCCTTAGTCTCTTCAATAATATCCGATAGCCTGCTAATAGGGACAGCTACATCTCCTGTCCATACGCAACCATTCTCTTGTTTTTGGCTGGCTATAGTGCTCCACAAAGCCTGCTTTCGGGCGCTCCAGAGTTCTACCTGTTCTTCTGTATTTTTCGCAAATTGAAAGTTATTACAACCGGAGGATTTTACAAGCTTCTTGATAATATCAATTTGTTCTTTGATGGTATTTGTTCTTCCGGCGAACTTGAAGAATAATGTTGGCGCTTCTGTCCAAAGTTTTTTGGTAGCGTTAGCGGCATTGACACAATGCATCTGATTTTCATCTAACAGCTCGATGGCAGCAACTGGAACTCCCGAGCGAATCACTATTGCGGCACAGTCGGTAGCTTGTCTGATACTATCGAATGAGCAAACAGCAACCGAAGTTGCATCAGGTTTTGTTGTGAGTTTAAGAGAAGCCTCGGTGACTAGACCAAGAGTTCCTTCGCTTCCAATAAATAGTTTGGTTAAATCATAACCTGCACTACTCTTCCTTGGCCTTTGTCTCGTTTTAATTATGGTTCCATCGGCAAGAACAATAGTCAATCCCAAAACCCACTCGCGCATAGTACCATAGTGATAAGCATTTGTCCCGCTACAGCCAGTCCCGATCATTCCGCCAATCATGGCGCCTGGTCCTGGGTCTGGGGGAAAGAAGAGATTCTCCTTCGATAATTCATCGTTTAGATACTCCCACTTGACTCCGGGCTGTACTACAACATCCATGTCTTCCTTGTTTAGCTTTAAGATTTTTCCCATTTTTTTAAAGTCAATGCAAATTCCACCTCGATTGGCTGTAAACTGTCCTTCTAGGCTGGTACCCCCGCTGAAAGCAGTCACAGGTATACATCTCTTGTGACAGATTTGCATAATAGCGCTAACCTCTTCCGTGGTTGAGGGGTATAAAATAAGGAATGGTTTGCCAGAGTCCTTTTCTTTGTGTAGACTCCATTGGTTTCCTAGATGCCCAGATATATCTTGTTCAGACGTGGAAACATTGTTGGTGCCGAGAAGCTCGACGAAATCCGTCCAGGATGCTTGAAGGTTTGAAGCAGTTGTGTTATGGGTGGGGGGTGTTGTGAGAGCAAGAGGAGTGGTTGAAGAGATAACTGACTTAGCCTTACCAGAGTTGCCTAGCCAGAAGCTGAACAATGCAACAGATATAATGACTGTTAGAAAATCAGTTACATGTTTGGGCTTTGAAAGGCGCTGCAGGCATACGTGCACTCGCCTCAAGATAATTCTTTTTAGGTCGAGCCTCTCTCTCATCCACGTACTTTTGCCGTTCTTGACGTTCTCGTGCTAGGCGTGTCGCAACACTTTCATAGACTTGGCCCCGGAAGGAGCGATCAGGTGTGTCAGTTGATATTAGCTTTGTCGAGAGAAATCGCGATTTTGTTGTATAATTTACGCCGCGTAGAGCGAGCTTCACACGTTGCATTATTCCGTCAATTAAGAATAAACGACATTAAATCGTTCATAGTCGCGAATTCATATCCTTCAAGAAAAGAAACTGGCGTCGGAACTAGTCGGTCAGTTAGCCCAGAAATAGACAGGCACAGGCACGGGCCGTGGCTCGGGATGGGAATTTATTCCGCGCCATCGTTGCAGTGTTTCAATTGGTCCCTTATGCGGTAAACGTACATATCACTAGGTTGAAGATCCAACGTATGTCTGGCGTATCATGTAAGAAATTAATGGGGAAATATTCTACCAGATCCAAATTCAGCCAAATTTCACAACACCGGCCAAGTTTGCACACGCGGCAACGATTCAATATTCCTCTTCACTGCTAACGGTCAGTCCTAATAAGATCAGTAATGACCAATGCTTTGTCAAGTCTTTAAGTACGATCTAGTGCATCCTGATTTCCATAAGTACACTTCACTTAGACTCAGTCCTTAGCCTCCGCTGGCTTCCAAATATACGACTAGGAAAATATGAGCTGAGATAGGCGACAAGCGTGATGCGCAATACTATCGGAGCAAATTTTCGGGATGGACGTGAGAGAGATGTGAATAGTCTATGAAGATGATTTCAGGGAAAGATCCAACAACAGTGGGAATGAAATTTCAAACTCTTTGCGCAAAAAGCATCCACAATAAAAGCTCTGTATATTAATCGTGGGATTTGCAAAGGATATCTATCTTCGCAACAAAAATGGATAGGAGCTCTGTAAAAAGTGTGGGTTGAATCAGAGGGGAGCCCTATATGCTAGGTAGTTATGGAATCAAGTAGCACAATAAAGACCAAGCGTAAAAAACATATTATCGCTAGCTTTTTCACCAAACCATATCAGCTCATGACCCTGACACAGTAGGCTGTCGCTCGAACACTTATCATGGCAGACACCTGTTACAATCTGGTGCAAAAGAACTGCTTTGTAAAAATTCATGGGACTGTGATTAGGATTCAAAACTAAATTTTACCACCTGCCCTCGATCAAGGAGGTCGTGGGATTCGTGAATGGAATATTGTCTGTGCTGGAAACACGGACGACTCTGGCACATAGTTAGAGCGTGCACTGATGGGAGGATGTGGAATTAGTCTCGAGATGGATTTTTCTCCCAGATGATAGTCATAGGGCTAGAAATAACTTTATGAGGGACTCGATTTAGACGCTAACTCGAAAATGCAAAACTGGAAAATTATGTATTGCGTGAGAATAGTCAAGAATCCCCCTGTAGTCGCACAGATGTTTGTTAGCCTATTTTTAACTGTCTTGCAAGAGTTTTGTGGTTAAGAGGTCGGTAAAGAAAACGTGAATCGGGGTCCGTTGGTCGGCAAAAGGTGTAAGTATTTGGACTCGCGGGGAATCGAACCCCGGACCACTCCCAGTCACCATGCTGCTAAGGGAGTATTATACCACTAAACCACGAGCCCATCTTATCTGATCGATTGTTTATGATATATTATACCCCATATCTTGACATGTAATAATTGCTTCAACACTCAACAGACAGAATGTACAATTCTAGACACAAGCCTCTATTCGTTTCAAACAGATAGTTGTGTGAAAGCTATCAAGCCTTGGCATTTGATCTATGTAGTATTCCATGTAGTATTGCATGTCGGATGACACCTCTGACCTTAGCGACACTCATATTCAGGTTTTCACTTGCCCACACCACCATGAGGTATGCTCGTTCACTGAAAACGGTTGACTCTTGTCCGCGAGCATCGGCAAAATGGAAGGCTGAAAACCTAACCTACCCAAGCATTTCTTCGTTTTCCACGAACGCCAGCACATCAGGAAGTGCGATCAAGTCCTACTAGGTTCAGCAAGCCATCTTATGTCTCAAATGGGACAGTTGTCCCAATATTGAAGAGTGTTTTCCACACTAATTAACAAGACCTTCACCATAGCGCCTATTTATTATTCTGCCTTAGAAATTTTGTCCCTCTAACTTATTATCCACGTAGCAGTTTCGCCGCTGTGCATACCCAGTGCTATGTCTATATGTTGCATGACTCCTTTGGCTAATTATCTTGTACTTGTGGTGGAGAAATTACTCTCGGCTGGCTTTAGTACTTCCGCGAGTATTCACACACTCGTGAGCGTGTACATGGAGGCCAGAGACAAAGTCGTGGAGAGGTTTGGTCATGGAAACGAGGATTTACTAGATCTAACTTGTAGACTTTTTTGAGACCAAGAATAAACGATACTTGGACTATGGAATTAATTTTAGGTCAAGTATTTATCTGGCTATTAGCAATGACCAGCTGCGTAGGAAATCTGCGCACAGCACTATGTTGAGGAAGATTTATATAGCGTGATATTGAATGGAATAAGACTTGTTAGCAGATGCATATTTGACCTTAGTCAGCTCTAATCAAACAGTCAAGTGACACATGAAGAGTAAGAAGTCAGCGATATGGGTCAGGGAATTGTGGAGGCATTTTAGATGATCCGAGCGCGTATGTTCATAGAAAAGGCGTTCCTTCAGTTAGCACAGAAAGAGAGAGAATCTTAGTGATCTAACTTCAATATGATATTGAGCTAACAAGTTTTACAGAATTGAATTTGTTGGAAAATACACTCTGTACGATATTATATGGTGAAATATGATGAAGTAAAGAAGACTTAATATTTTACAACTATGTGAACATTGGATTTATATACATCTAAGGGAGAAATTCCCGCTAGTCTCGTGTGCCTGTCAAACCTAGTGATGACCAGCCACCTCTCATCTACCATGATGAGCCAAGGTACACTGTAGTACGTAAATATCCAAAAGTATATGCGATAGTAGGCGCGATTAGCGTACTCGGGACATTTGTAGAGAGAGTCGATCTTGTCGGGAACCTGAGTCGAAACAGGTAATGGTTGAGTACTAAATTCGAGAGTCAGAATTTCCAACAGAATTTAAATCTCTTCTCAATCTGTGACTATGAAGGACCCCTTGAGCTATATAAATAGCCATAAATATTAACATAAAATTTGAGAATTGGTTTCTTAATTATTTACCAATAGATCCTGAGGATCACGAACAAGCCTGCCATCAGTCTCGCAGCATAAACTGCCAAGAGCTATCGGGAGTCCAAAACTGCTTATGACCTGTCAAAGAGTTGTTGATATATAATTCCAATTACAATTGGTAAGTGTGGCCGTCACATTATTGACTCTTTATGGATTTATATGCCATCTGTTCCCTCAAAAACAACATCATCGTTGACCGAAATGAGACTACAGTAAGATATCCAGGTCACGCACCGCATGGGTCCGAATTAGAACTATGAAACTAGAGCATGATTACAAACCTTGTCGTTATCTCTGGTCAGTGAAGTCGGTTAGATGTACAAGTACCTGCTGATAATAGCTTGCTAGTTCAATTAGTAAAATAATAGTTTCTTTCGGTAAGTCTTGAAGTACAAATGGTGTGTAGATATCTCGTAATTCATTTCCAGGCTCCCAAAGAACATTCTTTACCCATGATTCTTCTCCTTCGCGTCATATATCATATTCATTTTCTCCAGCTAACGCAGACCCCCTAAGATCTACTCTTGTGTAGGTTGCTCGTCCACCCACTTCCTCCAATCTTGCCAGTTCTCGAATGATAGGCTTGCCTTGGTACCCTGGAATCGAGTTACTGCTAGATTTTTAACGTCCCGCCAGTTGAGCCAATCACCATTCCATCCTGACTTTTGCATGCAGCTGACCACGCACTCTTCAGGGTCCCAGCCCTGTTCTACTGCGACATCAGGAAGATAACAAGCGTTCCACGTTGCACCGTCGGCCATAAATTGAACACGTATTCCGTGAATCCCGATCATCCAATCAAGCGGGTGCGAACATGGCTCAAAGTTGGTGAGAAGGGTAACGCATACAGAAATCATTTCGAGTTCGATTAGGGCGATGGGTGGGAAGCGTGGATCATGCAAAGCTGCTGTGAGGGCATAAGAAGGTAGGGAGACGGCGAGTGGAGCTGCCTCGAAAGTCCCGATACAGCCCCTTAGGGTGAGATCAGTAGAATCAACGTGTGAGATGGTGTTCCAGGTGACAAAGAGAGGTGCTTCGTCGTCTGCAGAGGACCGAGCATCAGCCGGTATGAGGTCCGGAGAAGTAGTGGCTAAGTAACTGGTCCACAACTTTTCGACTTCGCGGAGCGAAAGCGGACTCCGACCCTCTAGAGATGCTGCGAGAGTTTCGAAACAGCAGACAGCCTGTGCCATGTTTGCCATGATGAAAGTTGAAGATATGTTTGATGAGGTCTCCAAGTTGGCTGCGCAAGCAGTAGAGGTGACGGACAAGCTAGTTACCCCAGAGAGATCTGCAAATGGCGCAGCCGCTGTATTCACCAATCAAATCCTATCCTTTACAACCGACCACGAAAGGTAGGCTAGCAATAACGGCTCTGATAAGCTGCGTCCCGTGATGGCTTTAAATGTCACAGATGCGCTAGCCGGGATTCGAATGACTCGGGAAGCGCTAGAGAAGGGCTGAAGGAAGGAGAACAAGCAGCCTCGTTGATAAAGGTGAAGAATCCAGCGTCACTTGAGCTCGTGAACTAGTGTCGAACCCCCACTGTGTCAAATTTTGCGCATGATCGGCATCAATCGTCAGTTAGACGAAAAAGACCACAGGCAACGGATGAACGGCATTCCCAATTGTGCCATGACGTATTATAAAGGGTGGCAAGCCTTCTAAACAAGTATGACCGATGGGCCCAATCGATGCTGTAGATGATCTACTAGCCTTGGCCAACGTCGCTATTTAGAGTTAGGAATTGACAATATTTTCGTACTTACGCTGGTGCACATTTATAGGAGTTCATCATTTATTGTAAAGCTCGAACAAGCTTATCATGCGATAGTTGACAGCCTCGACAGATCAATCGCGAGAAGGATAGCAACAGCACTTATCCATGAAAATCTTGACAGTTTTGTCGTAGGGAGAATATGGTACCATGGTTATGAAGTTGTTGCGCCAGAAATGCAAGACACGAAGACCTGTACCAAATCAGCGGACCCTAGGATACACTAGCTTTCACCCAAGATTCTTTACATCTAGGATCTAATAACACCTATTCTTAAACTTGAGCCATTTTCACCCCCAGTCCCTCGGAATAATGATTGTAATCTGGGTTACGGCTACAAAGTTGACGCTGCTCAGAAAAAAAGATAATTTAACCTAGAATGTTAAGGTAGTGATGAGAAGGTATTTCATTATGCTCCAACGTAGGCTACCCACTGCAGGGCGAACAAAAGTCCATAAAAGCGGAATGATAGACCCAATTTCTACTTGAAAATATCAGAATTTGCATCACCCCCAAACATGCGACATTACCAACTCTGAGAACTTTCATTCCGCACAAGTTGCTTAGAAAACTCATATAAGCAAATTCACTTGATTTAAGGCTTGACCCCACGACGCACAATCTCTAGGTAGACTTCCATAAGATTCTACGACGACTTTTGGTTCATCAGATAGTACGAATTGAGAGAGAAGCATGAAGCAGGTTAAGGTGGTAGAAGGATTCTCTTCGACACACACAAGTCTGTCTCATGAAAATACCTAAAAGTTAGTTTTATCTTCGCATTCAGTCGTGATGTTGGTATAGGGTGAGGTTTAATTCCCAATGTTTCCTTCCAGTTTCTAAGCTGCTACATCCTCCCTTAGCCCTCGGTTGATTATATGAAGATAGATCACGTCTCAATAACGACCTAAATTGTGTCCTCAAATTACAAGATTTGTGCGTCCTGCTACACTGCTAGTGTCAATGAATAAACAACGAAGACTGTTTAGGTTGGTCCTAGAATCTAGCCTGTCTATGTTTTATAATGCTAACACGTTGATTGGTTGGTTTTTTGTGGTACTACTTGGTATGTGATTATCTAGCACATTGGGTTCTTCACTGGCCCAGGCCACACCTCGTACAATGCCCCTATTCTTTGTTATTACGAAAAATATCTCTGATGTGTAGCCCGCCGTGAATAGCCATTCAGCTCAGTGTTCACACGTGAAATTCAGTCACCTTGTCAGCGGAATGTTCTATCCAAAATAAAGATGGTTGCAATGGAAACTGCGTGCGCGCGAAAAAGTCTTGAAAACCCTGCAGCCGCAGCCAGCGAGACTAACTGGAGATCCTCATCATAGTCTGAACAGCATTGTTACCCAGTCTCAGCTCTACTGTTAGAGCTGAAGATTCGTAGGTGACGCCACTGACAGGTGCAGAGCTTCGTGCCCCACCAATCAATGTTTATACAATTTCCCAACAGTGACACGTAACCAGTGCCTTATTTCATGTCAGATGATTATTTAAACTTCGTTCGCGTTATCACAATGAAGTTTGTGCATTTCCGTAGATCACACGACCCTCGTCCGTGAGTAGTCACTAGACGGAAGTTTCAAAACCTTTGATTATCTAAGCATGCCATTATCATCCATACGCTTCAGCACCACGAGAAATCTATTCGACTTATACCGAATGCAAACTAACCATGTCCTATCTCTAAGGGGGGAGTGTGTCCAAGCTATTCGGAATCTACTTGGAAGACCTGCCAATTTGATGTTCCACTGTACCATCCAACTGGGACTGCGTTTATGTTAACGTCTCCAGTTTAGATTGCGAATAGTGTAGAATCCAATTCAAGTCCCTACTGAGTCTATGGCTATGAAGGACTTTAGATTACGAAGTTGTGGTGCGCAAAATGCTCTTCAATCAGATAATTCTTTCCAATTATCATAGCCTCCTATGCGTGACATTGTGTTAAACCTTAGTGCCATCGATCTATCTCTCCTAGTTTCTCTTTCGCCCTTCCTCATGACTTGTCTCCTGCAGTCACTATTACTGTCGTAAGCGCATACCTGGAGATCAGCCAAGGCTAGACATCAAATCGATAATAGGTGTAGTGACTGATGTGAGGGTATACTAGTTCATATTGTTACAATTGATAAGGCTTTCGTCAGAAATGATCTAGTCGGGAGTGTTAAATTGGTGTGACTGAGAGTCTTGAACCATTGCATCATTGGCCAACTTCCTCGGTATTGCCATGTTTGACCGAATTTGCTAAGCAAGAGTTTCACATTCCAAGTTTAATTGTGAGGAATGAATAGTTATCTCATTCATCGTCTTCCGATTTTGACTTGTGAGCTCCACGCTGTATGTGGGAGATAATGCCAGCTGGTGATTTGGCTTCAGCTCTGCAGACTGTAACTAGGGCCCTGTGCGTTAAACTCTACTAGCGGTATCAGTTGGATTAACTATTGTAAAAAGAAAAACGCAAATATACATAATAATTCACGATTCAGTTAGTTAGTCGACTGAATCACTGCCACTGATTAGTTTCTTTGCTCTCTTACTATTTTTCGGCCTAATCAACAAGGCAACTTATTCCAAAATTTATCAGTTATCGGTCTAGGATTCCGAGTTTCCGGCAAAGTCTAATCTGCGACCAAATCAAGGTTAGTGCGGCCAAATCACTCATCCTCTCCAGCCCGCTATAATAAACAAGCTTGCCGCCCCCTCCACGTCACTCCCAGCAACCAAATCTGTCGCCAAACTTTACGCCTTATATCCATATTATAACAGAATCCGTTTTCGTCATCGAAGCAGAATGCCTCCAAAAGTCGCAGCTAAACCCAGGTCTAAGCCTTCCGTTGACCATGTAACTTACCAAGGTACGCGATGAATATTACTTATATAGTGATCTAAATCATGAGCACATCATTGTTTTCGAATCCAAGAGAACAACCCTTTTTGGCAGAAGACTAAAGCTAACCTAAGAAATAAGATATGATTACCGATGCGATCATCACACTGAAAGAACGAAATGGCTCAAGGTAATACGAATTCTAGGTTAGGATTTCACTATTGAACAAATACTAACTTTCGAAGTCGCGTCGCCTTGAAGAAATATATAAAGGCGAACTACAAGAACGTAGTGGACGGAAAACTATTTGATTCACTTTTTAACCGGGCTCTTAAGTCTGGTGTAGAGAAAGGGCTATTCGCGCAGCCTAAAGGTAACACTCTCCAAAGCCTATCGTTCAATCTCCTTACAAATAATAGGCTCTTCTGGTGGGACAAAACTAGCCAAAAAGGAACCAAAGCCGGCCGCAGCTAAGGCGGTATCAAAGGCAGCAGACGCAAAGGCCACAGACAAAAAAGTTGTCGCCAAGAAATCTACTGCTACCAAGAAAGCTCCAGCTAAAAAGGCTGCTTCTGCCAAAGCCGACGCGGTTCCTAAACCCAAAGCTGTAGCTACCAAGGCCGCATCAAAGCCAAGAAGAGCTCCCGCCAAAGAAGCAGTAAGAATACCATCACCAGCGCCAACTAAACTAACAGTTCAAGGCTCCCGTAACACCCGAAAAAGCCGTCAGTAAAGTCAAGACAGGACGCGTTACTAAAGCTGCTCAAAAACCTCTTGCCAGAAAGGTACTACCTAAAAAGAAGCCTACGGCCAAGAAGCCCTTGCCAAAAAAGAGTGCTGCATGAATGGTGAGTTATGGGACTGGGAGGTTGGGTTGGATTGGAATAGGCGTCAGGGTTATGATTAGGTCTGCAACGAATGGGAGTCGGGTATGCTCTTTTTTTTTTACGAAGCCCTTGGATACCGTACGAATAAGAAGCTTGACATTAGCGTGCAACATTCGAGTCTCGTCAGTAGATGTGTAGGGACTTTACCAAAACTAATATAATTCATCTCAAACTTATAAAAAGAATAGTTCCTAAATTTCTTCATGATAATTACACAGTGACAAATAGGTCTTCACCTTTTCCCGAGTTATTCTAACAAATACAGTGTCACATTGATCGTAGACTTGTAGCGCTCAGGTTACTGGTAACACCGGTTCCGCGAATTTTCCAAGATTAGCAGGGATTAACTGCACTATCAAGTACTGATAAGCATCCCGGTAAAGCAGTATGGGTACAGCATTTTATCAGCACGGCCTAACGGGGCCCTGAGGAGCCCCTTTATCAGTCACCAAAGGACAATCCCCGCGAGTCTAGGCGCCTACCGGGTACTAGACTCTTCTCGCTCTTGATGCCACTAGCTTTGTTGCTACGGCTTCAGGGCAGACCACTGTTGGGTGGAGAGCAAACGTACATCGTTACTCGACCCACACCCACAGCGTTGCCTATGGCGAGGGACTAGCAAGCACATATCAAATCTACGCGTGTCAGGTGATCCTATGCGCAAGATTTAATCGATAGCAGAGGCTGACGGAGAAGGTTTTCAGTGCAGAAACGCCTTCCAGAACCGGGGCCGTAATTGATGTACCATTCACTTTTGTTTTCTCAAAATAAAGCTTGCGAAAGCCGTCACATACACCTACCTCGAAACTCTAAACACGCGATAGCCTCTATCAATGACCATGCAGGTGTTGCCCAGCCTCGGTATTTTCTGCCGACGCGGTTGGCTGCAAGTACAGCTTGAACACCATCTCGGCCACGCCGAGCAGGCGCACTGCGCTTCCCCCAGAGCCCACGCAGTTCGCTCCGTCAGCGAGGCAGTGGTGCGCTACTAGCTAAAGAAGGGCGATTTGAGTGCTCGCAGCCAGTTGGAGGCCTGGCCATCTGTATTATCGCCTACAGTTCATCCATTCTCAGCCGGTGACTGTATTGGACATGTGGGTCCCTCCTGCCAAAAGGCCAGGGTACTGATGACTCGGATAGTTTATACTCTCCTGCGCCTCCCTTGTATTCCCCGTCTAGTACTTCAAGCCTTAGAGTCTTCAATCAATATTACACTTGGAGAAAATTTTTAGCCTCTCACACTCCCTCCTCTCCGACCGGTGGAGCGGATATCCCTCTCGGGCGAAGGGTAATCACAAGTACACGAATCAGCCCGTGGGTTGCGGGGTCGCCTTGACACTAGCATCGGCGCTAAGTCCGAAGAGGTAGCTACCCCTCCAAAGCTTTCGGATAATCTAGCCAGCCGCTGCTAACCTGATCTTTGTGTATCAGATTTCGATTGCGTATGCACCTATCTAGGTATTACACAATATCAGAAAGAGAGTACAAGTAAGATGAGTCGCTCTAATCATAGGGCGTTCATGGCCCGGATTTCATTCGCAAGAACCACTGCGAATTTGTGTAGGCTTTTTCTTCATCCCAAGTTAGCCCTCATCCGTAAATACCCACCCAGGGAACGTCTCAAAACCCCCAAGTTACTCAGACATGCCTGCATAATCCACTAATTTTTCTCCGCGCGAAATGTGTTCTGAGGCGTCTCCTTCCCAATTAGAGAAGGTGCCCAGGCTACTCAAGCTATTCCGGAGAACACCACTAGGGGGGCGAACCACGATGTCTTCCGTCGTTGGATTGTGTTTATAGTGTAAGCTACATTCTGCAATCAAAGTACCACCACGCACACAGCCCAATTTGTAAAAATCCTAGCCAGCATTCCAAATTTCACGCCCGTCGAGAAAGTGTCCACCGTCTGTGTCATCTTGTAAACTTGTCCTGATTCCTCATATGTTTATCCCAAAGGACTGCCTCCTAGATTTGTACGCCACGCTTTATTTTCTCCAGCAGGTGTAAGTATCGGCTTTGGTGTGTATTTAGTGGCTAGTTAAGGCATGAGAATAGTCGACGAGAGGTGTGGTCATTGGAATGAGGATCTACTTGGTCATAACTATAAACCTGACGAGTTTATGGCGTGGATCGATTTCGTTAAGTGGGAGAAATTAGATTTGGTATTGATTATTCAATCATTACCTCATGGGCCAACTTGCCCGGTTTTGCGAAATTTGACTTAACTTAACTCCAGGAGTAAATCGCCCCCAGGTTCGTAGAGAACACTGCGCACAGGTATTCGGTCTCTACCATCTGCTGCTAACTTGTGTGTGGCTGGGGAAATACCTTTTCATCTTGCCAGCCACTTCTCCGCTCTTTGCCACGTACGCACCTCGACTTAAATCGGAGGTTGGGTTGAGGTTGGGATAATTGAGCTCATCAAGCTGGCCATATTTTTTGAAAGATGGAAACTAAAGATCTTGTCCTTTGTCTATCCTCTTTAGACAAATGAATGCGATAAATAACCTCATGACTAAGAGGCAATTGCTTTTTTCATGGGTCACGTTAAGTGCGAGAAAAGTCTTGGTCGAAAGTATGTGCTGCAATGGCATCATTGCTTAACTTGATGGTGCCGTCTAGCATGGTGAGATGTGGTAGATGCATTAAAATGGAAGAGCCTCCGTCCTGTGTCGGATTCGTACTCAGCCCTGCGAATTGTCACTCCTCGTGCTTGATCGTGTTGGTTTTGTTCCATCACGTGATTTGGCCTGGCTGCGAGACAGTGGACTCCTCAGACCAGCCGCGATCAAACCTCTTCATCTGCCCGCTTCTTTTCTTGTTATCGTGCATAATTTTAGGCACAAATACAAAATATTGATCCTCTCACTTTTAAAAGGAGTCTTCAAGTGCCAACTTGAGGTCAATCGTATTACGGACTCCACAAAAGAACTGATGGTTCGTGGGGAACACCAAGTTCTAGTGTTCAGCCTTGACCCCCCGCTCATGTTATTACATTTCGTAGTCGATCGCTTTGACTGCGTAGGAGGTAACTCTATTCAATCTTCCGGCTAGATTCTGGTGTTATTCCCAAAAGTAACTATTCAGGATACATCGCTTCGATTTTTTTGAAAACTACTCCATGTCGTGCCAGCGCACACCACTGTAGCACGGAGGCCAAGTGCCGGCAAGCTCAAGTTTTAGAGGCTACCCGACGATTCAACGCCCCTAAAGAGTCCTAAATAAAAAGTGAAGCCCAGCCACTACTCAGCGCTTTAGTGGTTGAGAATATTTCGAGAGAATGACTGCCTCGTCCAATCCTCTATTCTCATCGCGTCCGAAACCTTCAGAACCCCGCGTCTATCCAAACTTTGCTCGCAGGCTTTGATATCTTCATCGGACTTACATACCCAGCAATCCATGAATAGTGTCTTCCGATAATTCCCCATCGACAACAGCTTTGGAAGATAGCGTCGTGGGTCGGTTGCTAGATTTTTCCGCATCAAAAGAGGGTTGAAAGTTTGTTGTATCAAGGTGAGTGCGGTATTCAACTCAGCTTAATATCGCCTTGAGTAATTGGTTACTTCGTCTATGATCTGCAAAGTCGAGAAATATCCGCAATCCAGGTGTCTCGACCGAAACCTGCCCAGCGTTGCTCCCTCTGACAAGACACCTATCCAGGAAAAAATCGTTCCATTGCTTGGGTCTGATCTTATCTTGGCTTTGCGAGAGTTTTGGAATTTTAGTTTCGTAGAGGATACCGCGGACAAGTATTCTGTCCTTGCCCTTCAAGCTGGGTTAGAAGATTGCACAAGCGACTTAATTGTCCGGGTGAGGATCCAATTTTGGTAATATGCAAGTTGATCACATGATTGATATACTAGCGAATCAATTAATCCAAATGGAACAAGCCCTTTCCAGTATGCCACTTCCATCGCACACAATTGCTGGCAAAGACAAATTCTTCACCTTCCATTGGCACCCGTGCAATCGCTTAGAATGCTTTGCATGTGGATCTCGGTTGATGGAAATACGACCGTGCACATCGTGTCCTATTGACTGGCTCACGTGGTGCGGGGGGAACATGTAAATAGTTGGTAATCCTGTGAGATAGACCAATCAGTCATGTATTTTTAGCCTCCAGTTTCTCTCACGCTTTATTGTCAATTAGTCGGTGCCATAAGACACCTACTAAGGATCATTTTCGATCATATTGTGCCCAACCAGAACCCATATGTACTTCTGGGATAACTAATACGATTCGCATGCGGATCGGAGTGAAAGGCAAACACAGGCACAACCATGGCTGACTACATCCGACTAATGTTGGTCCTTTCATTCACATACGAGCCCTCAAACCTCACACAACTACATATTAACTTGTCCTAGCGAAAGATGAAGAAGTCACTCCAATTGTAGACAGAAGCCTTCCCCATTAATTTCAAGCCACTTTCCACTACAAAATTACTAAGCTACGGATTCCCGCAAGGAGGAGAGAAAGTCTTGAGATGAAAAGCTGGGAGTTTGGCTCACGAGGGACTATTTCCCTAACGGAGCTTTACAAGTCGAGGGAGGATAGGAGGCTAGGACGTGGAATGAGCGAGAGAAGAGGTGACGAATGGGCATGATGGGACTGACATTCTTCGACCGTTTGCGACATTGGAATGCTTGTGCGTGCTACGACTACGGCTTGGACGAGTTAGCCAGGTGAAATTCTACTCTCGATAAGTCTACGGCACTTCTCAGTACCCTTGACGACACAGTGGAATTGGGATAAGCTACTAAGCAGTTAGTACACTTTGTTTCAAGCTTTTTCCGACATTTCAACACGACCTTCGGGAAAAAGTTGGAAGTTAGAAAGCCGCAGATTGTGAATTTTCCCGAGGTGCACATAAGTCTGCAGCTTCCATCTGGCCAGCCTCTTCGAGCGCTTTAGAAGGGTCACTATGTCTTCGGATTTAGTCTTAATGACGTTGTTTGAAGAGCCTCACACCCAGTGATCCTTGAGACTTTCTCTGGCCGCCATACACCCATAAACAGCGATTGTTACGTTAAATGGAGAGGGGAAATCATGAAGGGTAAACGGCTCCAAGTGTAAGATCGAATGAGGACTTTTGAGGGGTGCTATATGGGAGGCATAGGAAGAGACATTGTCGGTTTACAGGTGCGTGGCGTAAGTTGGAAAGGCTTGTCTTGGGCATATACTTCCATAAGCTTTGGTAAACGAATCACGTGATCTGGTTACCAAGGCTAGGCTTCGCTTTGTAACTTAGATATTAATGCTTAGGGGAAGAGACAGAAGAGGATGAATAGAATATACACCACTTTTTTTAGCACTTTTGAGGCATTAAATCAAGTGAACCCCGTTGTACCAACAGATATACTACTAGATAGGTAATGCTTGGTCTGTAGGTAGAGATGTCCTACTTTTCCCATATTGTCCTAGACTGAAAGAGGGAGAGAGGTGTGTTTATTGTACTACTTGAGTCTATGACTATCTAGCATGATGGGCTCCTTTCTAGCCCAGGCCGTACCTTGTACAGTGCTCCTTGCCTCTTTTGTTACTTGAAAGTTCATTGATATATTGCCCGTGAGGGATTGCTATTCAACTTAGTATTTACTCGTGGAATTTAGCCACCTTTTCTGCGGAATCTTTCATCTAAAATAAATGAAATAATAGCAATGGAAACTGCGTGCGCGGGAAAAAGTACTAAAAAGTCTGCAGCTCCAGCCAGGCGAGGCCTAGACACTGGGACCACATGAGGTGTGCATATTCATCTATATCTTCCTTCTTTGTAACAGTCGAGGCCGACTTGATCCAATCCACCTTCTCCGTATCGGGTGCTGGGTACGCTCCGAAAACTCATCGGATGGCTTTTCCTCCATGACCAGGAGTGACTGATTATTAGGGCTTCGACCCCATTATCTTATCTGATCGCGGTTAACCTCATGATAGTGGTGCGAGGAGTTTTTGTATGGAGATGAAAATGATATAGACCCCAAGGCTGGCTGGGGATAATGAGGTTCTTTTTGACCATTCTAATTTTGCAAACTACATTTAGCGTTCAGAGGGAGTGAGTGATGTGTTTGTTATACTTCTTGAGTCATAGACTATCCAGCACATTCGTAGAAAGTATCACAAAATAAAGTTCATCTTTTGTACTCCCTCCACTTATGTTATATTGTGGATATAAAGAAATATATTTAGCCCAGTAATCTCAAATTAAATAGTCCGCCACACCCTGGCAGCTTTACATCCTTGCGCCCTTGTAATGTATATTGTTTACTTTTTGCTCAAATTCAGGCTTTGATCTTTTATTATGTTGATAACTCGCTTTGGATCTTAGCAGAAGATGCTCTGTGGCCCTTTTTTTCAGAATAAATATACGTTTATGCTGGGTAATCATCAAAGAAAATGTAGCTTCGACATATCAGCTTGCTGGCTTGACCTTGGATATCAAACTTAACAAGCAGTCAAAATACTAATGAGATTTGACACCTTATTTTCATATATATCCGGTTTCATTTAATACTAATCAATAGATAGATTGCAAACACTAGAAACTGTCGAATCTCAAATTCCATAGTGATCAAAGTATTGTGGCCATAGGCTCATTATTTGAAGTCGAGCACACGGCTTGAGTGAGTATTATATCCAACTATTACTCTCTAGTTTGCAGAGAAATCTAGACAACCTCAATAAGCTTTCCTGTGAATATTAAAATCTTAAAGGTTTGACTTGAGGTACGTCTCCGTAGCTGACATGCCGTATTGCACAAATAACTTTTTAGATTCCTCGCCTTGCAGTGTAATTTTTCGTGTTGCCTCAGAACCTTTCTTATTTTCGTTCCGACCAAGTTGATTGAGATGAACTTCGTCAGGTCCATCAGCAATTCTAAGTGTTCGAATCTGCGCCCACAAGCTAGCCAATGGGGTATCTTGAGAGACACCAGCGGCACCAAAGCTTTGAATTGCTCGGTCGATGACAGTAAGAGTCATACTAGGTACAAGGATTTTTGCCTCACCGATTTCTTTCAAGGCTTTTTTTGACCCGAACTTGTCGATCATGATGGCAGCATTCAGAACAACAAGGCGCGCCGCGTCAATTTCTACACGCGATTTTGCAAGCAAATCAAGTACCACGCCATGCTCGCTTAACTGTTTGCCAAAGGCAATTTTTCTCGGATCGTTAATTCGATAGAGCATCCACTCGATGGCTCTTTCGGCCTTTGAGGGTTAACGAAAATTTGTATCATTGGCCTGAAGTACTCACAGCGCCAATGCAACGCATGGCATGATGGATCCGGCCCGGGCCTAGTCGACTCTGGACAATTTCAAACCCTCTTCCAGACCCAAGAATAAGATTACTCGAAGGAACTTTTACATTATTGAAAACCAAGTGACCGTGTCCGTGAGGAGCATCATCGTAGCCGTAGACAGACATCATCCGCTTGATTGAAATACCACGGGTGTTTGATGGGACAAGAATTACTGAGTGCTGCTTGTAGGGGTCCTCGATAGCTTCATCACTTTTGGCCATGACAATATAAATCTTACATCGAGGATCTCCAACACCGCTTGACCACCATTTCTGTAGTACATTAGCTTCGTGCCATGAGCTGAAATAAAATTAGCACAGACTTCTCCGTTGAGAGTATATTCGTTGCCGACCCTCGTCATCCGCATCTGAATATTTTTTGCATCGGATGAAGCAATATGTGGCTCAGTCATTAAGAAAGCCGAACGAATCTCTCCGTTTAGTAAAGGCTGTAACCATTGTTTTTTTTGTGCACTGCTACCGTGAAGAGCTAAAACCTCCATATTTCCACTGTCAGGTGCAGCGCAATTAACTGCCTCTGAGGCAACTCTAGATCTGCCAAGCCACTCTGCCATGAGTGCGTACTCAAGATTTGTGAAACCAGGCGATTCTTGGTACAGGGACTTGGGCAGAAACATATTCCAGAGTCCAAGTTTCCTTGCTTCGACTTTGAGATCGTCAATGATATTGGGGTAGTGATTCCATCTATTGATACCTTGACCCACTTGAGCTTCAAATATAGGATCGGCTCTAATTCTTATCAGTATAAATTAGGATAGCTGTGTTGGATAGAGAACGTACGGAATGCATCTTTCTTCTACAAATTTTTTGACAATATCAAGAGTTTTCGATGCTTTTTCGCTCACTCTATCAGTGGCCTTGGTGTAGATTTAGTTTTTAGATCAGACGCAAAAAGGACATCGAGACTTACGATTATAGGTATATGACTGGCCATAAAGCTATTGCAAATTTGTGAGAAGAGAGAATTACATACAAATATAAATTTGTAGTTGTAGAAATAGAGTCTCAATGAATGGAAAGTGTCAATAAGCCTTAGTGAATACACAACTCAGCCTCAAACCGGATTGACCGATCATCTCTCCCATCATCAACAGCTCCCAACCCACATTATCCATTAGATCGCTACCACAACGTTACCACAATTACCGTAGAATTAAGCAGCAATATGGCTGTATATAGCCACCCGTCAATTATCGACCAAGGCGACCACTTGCACCCGAGCCTTCTTGAGATTGCAGCCGCAACGAAGCAATACGAACACGAACGAAAGCAGCGAATGAACCGAGCTCAAGAATCCCTGCACAAGATCGACGTTTGAGTGAGGCCCAAGACAGGATCAGAAGTTGCGGCCTTAGTCAAGCATTTTATCGACAATATTTTGCCCATTGTGACAGCATTGCTGTAGCCAGTATCGATGGCACAAACCCCCAGTTCAAGATTCAAATGCCAAAACCAATAAAGATGACAACCTTTGTACCTAGGGCGACGAAAGGAATGGAGAATATTCATTGTAAACTGACCTCAAAGCTACAGTAGAGTGCTTCCCCGTGGGTCACAGTAGCCTAGAAAGCAGCTAAGCTCCCGGATCCACCTACCATTCTAACAGCATGAAGGCCTACTGTGCAAGCAAAGCCCACCACACAAAACCCTTCAAAGAAAGACAAACAGCTTTTTGTCCGCTTGGAGCAAGAATATGGTTGGCGCAGATCGTCACCAGTCATGACAAAGAAGCTGATTGCTGAGAGAGTCTGAGTTGCTATATCAGCCATCATGTCAATGAACCAAGTCCGATCGGGCTTAGAGAATAAGCGCCGTGAGTTCCAGGCTCATTCCAGTGTGAAAACATCTGCAATGAAGCAGCATCGGACTAGAATTCAGCCATAGTGCCGCATGTACAATTATACATCTAGGCAATAGAAGGCAGCATTTAAGTTATGAAAGAAATGGTGACAACGGAATGCCAAGCTATGTGCGGGGTCACACCGGTACAGGTGCAACTTGACTTGGTTAAGATTGGATAATATTCTACAAGTTGGACCATTCACTTTTATCAAAAACCAGAAAACCTCACGTTCGGGCTCTTCGAAGAGACCAGACCGGCAATTCCGTTCGTACGCCAACATCCCACGGAACAGATTCAGAGATACTAAGGATTCTACAGCATACGCTCTTGCACCAAGAGATAAAGTCGTGGAAGATTCACTGGAGTACACGAAACGATAGAATGTCAGATGAGGGTACCTAAATGTGGAAATTATGCAGAACCTCACGAATCGATCAGCTTGTACAACACGGTCCGACCTAGGCGCCAGAATGGGATATTTTACCCGTACACACATACGGAATGAAGGATAATCTGAAAACACGTACATCAAGACTTAAATGATGCGCTAGCAGAGTAAGAAAAGATGCGTAAGGCCCTAGAGGTCATAAGCACCCCCTGAAGAAACCATACAAAATTAATGAGTAGTACAACCACAACTCATAACCAAAGCGAACAACAAATCGCCCTTCTATATCACCATGTGAACGTGGGAAAGGGTGGAGAAAAGATTAATATCACGCCGTAGCTGGTATGGGAGGCTTGAGTACACATAGTAATGATACAGGAACCATAGATAATGCAGAATAACGGAGAGCCTATGACTAAAAGTTACCTGGGACTCAACAGTTACAAGCTGATGGGTGCAGCTCGGACTCGCCCTCGGACAATCAGCTTTGTCCGTAAAGGCTTAATAGCCACGCAAATGTACCCCTCTTGGAATGAGTTAGGCTGTAGGAAAAAGTACAGGAAACCCTGTCGGATCCACCGGTCCTTCACTCAATATGGATAAAGAGCGTTAGCTTAGGACCTATCGTAATAAAAAAATGTACAAAAATTTTACCCGTCTCCCCAGTATCAAACCAGCATACTGCTTCTTGCAAGTTTGTGTTTTGATTTTTGTCAACTTATATCATACATCGGGATTGAACGAGACTCTGAAGCCCTTAATTCGATAGAGCCCTTCAGGTTCTGCAGTTGTAGAAGGAGACTTCAACGTCATATGCCCAATCCCATCAGCAGTAAAGCGACTAGTTATACTCAAGGTAAAAGTGAACTGGAGCTTCCTCCCAACTCATACGACAGCTCAACGTTACATGAGATAAACCCTGAACTCAACCTATGTGGTAACCAACACATATGCTATACGCTAAGACTAGGATTTGGCAGGGGATGATGTTGATCAAGATGTCTTCCCTGACAGAGAGGGTAGAAAAAAGATAAACTTCTACAAGCAAAAAGCAAGAGGACGTATCCGCAATGGACATAACAGTGTTAGTGCACTTCTTGAAGGCAACACAACATTAAAGTATAGATAAATTGAAAAGTCGACGGGGCTTCTACCAAATCGTTTACTCTTGTGTAAATAGTGGAGTTCGTAGACACATGCATGGATCCATAGGGCGCTAAATTGGGCTAAATGAAATCAAATTCACGATGCCATTTTGCATCTCAAACACACTATTTCCACGGCCACCCAAGTATATTCTAAGCCCCTGAGTATTTACAAACATCTAATTAGAGATACCAGGTGTATACGACCATATACACCACCACCCTTCGATAGCTATATGGAGTTTAAATAAACCAATGCCTTGTTTCTAGAACTTTTCGTACTAGTTTGCTGTAGCTGCGCGAAGTTATAATAAATGGACTAATCTTACGACACGCGGGCCCTATTATCACTCCTTTTTTGTTTTTTAAATTCATAGTGCATTCCGCTATCTAGCTATGAAATATTATTTACACAATATATATCCCCCATACTCCTTCTTTATATATAATTTACTTAATTACTTTTTAATTTCCAATTAATGTTTCTTATTTTAATATCCTGTGTGTGCTACCATACACTTGGATGTGCCCAAATATTTAAGAAGTGCTTCCTTTCCTATCTTTGTTCGAATTAGTATTGAAAGTGTTCCTGGCTCTATTCCCTGAAAGTATCTGTTTCTTTTGTCTTTGAATTTAGGATAATATAACAATAGTTGTTGCAATAGAAAAGAGCGGATTGGGAGGAGGCTAATTTTAGACTCAGATCTAAGCTGCAAGCTTTAAGAGTCAGCGACAACCCACTCGACAGCAAAGAGGCCATTGACAAGCAGGTAAAGGGAATCACCCAAGCAATCCAGGAGACAATGGACGAATGCATACAGAAATCAAGACCTTCGAAATTTGCTAAACCATACTGGACAAAAGAATGCTCTGAAGCCGTGAAAGAAGCACGTAAGGCAAGAAGACAATGGACAAAGGCTTCGACTGAAGAAAGCTGGGTGCAATATCAAAAAGCCAAATCAAGAGAGCAAAATCTATTGGTTGGAAAGCAGTTGTCTCAGAGGCCACAAATGACCCTACAAAACTGTGGAAACTAACTAGGTGGGCCAAGAAAACTCCAGAGGAACGAAGTAGACTCCCCCAGATACCCGACATCAAAGATGGAGAAGAAAATATACACAAAAATGATGTAGATAAAGCAATAGTGATGGCGCAACATTTCTTTCCAGAGCCAGTTCACGCAGACGTTCTAGACATTTATGACATTTATGACACAATATATCCAGAAGAACTAAACACCATATCTCTTACGGTCACGGAAGTCAAAGTAGAGGAATCCTTGGCAAAGCTGGTGAGCGAGAAACGCCCCGGCCCAGACAGAATCCCAAACTGGCTGTTAAAAAATTGCAGGAAAATTCCATCAAGCGTTCTCACGGACCTATTCAACGTCTGCCTCTCCAAGGGATATCACCCAATAGGCTTCAAGGAGACTTGAACAATTGTACTTAGAAAGCCACAGAAATCAGCATACAACATTCCAAAGGCTTACCAACCAATAGCTCTCTTAAACACCATTGGAAAAGTCCTTGAGAGAATAGTCGCCAAACGCATCTCAAGCGCTGCCTAAATGCACAATCTTCTTCCAGAAGAACAGATGGGGGCGCGTCTCAACAGATCTACGATGTCTGGGGAAATAATAAGAAAAAGGTGGCATCCATCCTTAGTCTAGACATATCTGGAGCTTTTGATAAAGTATCCCACGAAAGACTCGTTCACAACATGAGGCTAAAAGGGATTCCTCTATGGATCACTAACTTTACAAAGGCATTTCTAGAAGAGAGGTCTACCTCAATAGTGCTTTGATCGTTTAAAGGAGGAAGCATCAACACAAAAACAGGGATACCTCAGGGCTCTCCGCTTTCCCCAATTCTCTTCTTATTCTTCGCTTGCACCTTCCTCCCTCTACTTCAGATAGAATCGTCTTCAGCTATCGGATTTGTGGAAGACACCAATCTGATAACATGGTCAAACATAACTGAAGAAAGCTGCCGCAAACTGGAGGAACTCCGCGAAAAATGTGCTTCATGGGTTACGAAGCATGGGTTTAAATTTGCACTAGAGAAATATCAGCTAATGCATTTCTCGAGGGCCCGGAAACGCCATAATCTGAACGCTGCTATCCAAATACAGAGTCATAAGATTACCCCCAAATTGTCTCTTCGATTCCTTGGAATCCAGTTGGACCCCAAGATAAACTGGACATCCCACGTTAAAGGATTACAAGCAAAAGCGGAGTCACAGATGCAGGTATTGAGTCGACTAACTCAGTCAACGTGGGGTGCGAATGTCAACAAATCACGACTATTATATTACTTGATAGTAAGACAAGCGCTTACCTATGGATCCCCTATCCGGGCCAGAACTGGACCGGCAGGCAACATCTCTGAAAGGATACCCATGCCACTCAGAAGTGTTCAAAGGAAATTCCTAAAGCTCATTACGAAGGCATATCAGTCGACCAGTAGTAGAACGCTAGAGTATGAAACGTCAACTCTCCCGATAGAGATATACCTTAAACAAAGGCGGCTTCAATATACCAGGCTATCCAATAACTTACCTGTCCAACAGACAATTTCAACTGCACGCAGAAAAATCAAATATTTTGATGAAGAAAAGTTAAATAAACGCGATCAGAATAGGAGAGATGATATAGTGGAATGGACCCTAATCTGCAGCAACATCGAGTCTAAAACAGGACAGAGAGTAGCCGGGAAGAACGCCGCGTTCAAGGAATAGTCAGAATCCTGGACGAGCCAGAAGAAGGAGCGACACTTGGGTCCCCGAGCGCAAGCCAATCCGGATAAGTGGAATGCTGCAAACTTATATAACGGCAAGAAAACAGGTAGACTTATGATGAACTATAGAGAGTCAACTATCCAAATCCACCAAAACCTTAGCAGGGCCCAGAGCAGCATTACCACACAAGTATGAAACGAGTAGATTGGGTTCAATGCTTACTTATACAGAAGGAATGTTCCAGGAGTAGGAAAACCATAGTGCCAATGTGGATATTCTACCCAAAATATAAAGCACATGGTGACGTCTTGTCCAAGATGGGCAAAGGGAAGAGGTGAGTTGCTACGAAAATCGACAACCCAATCTTTCGAAACTATGGTAAATAACATCAAAAATATGACTAGAATTGCACAGTGGATTCAAAAGGAAGGATGGCTGATGCAGTTTCTGTGACCGGGGAAATCGAGGCGCTAATCAGGCGAAGAGAGGGAAATGGAAACACAGGACAAGGACGGAATCCACACTGGCAACAACAGTATGAGTGCACTTCCTAGAGGTAAGACTATATTGGCATAGAGTCCAATTAGACAGCTAAGGGGGTTTTTACTGCAAGGTTTCCTGCTATGTAAATATTAGAGTTCGTAGACACCAGCATGGGCCCATATGGCGCCAAATCGGGCTAAATGAATTCAAATTCAAATTCAAACAATAGTTGCTGCATATTCTGCCTTTCTTTCCTACAAAAATTGCATGTAGTATCTTCAACTTTCCTATCATATGCAGATATATTGTTACCCCATGCCTATGCCAACTGGCATAGAATACAAGAATAACTAGACTGTACAGCCGTTACATGATAGGTAATATCAGAATCAACTAGCCTCTCATTGAACAATCTCATAAATCATTTTCCTTGTCTGTGAATACAGACAAATATACTATATCGACATGTAAGACTACCAATGTGAAGAGCTACGACAACACGATGAAACAAGGGTAGAAGTCCGAATACTGTCTATATTTTACATACAAGAGAAAATAACTAATCCTAGGGGAAAAGTCCTGTTGTACCTCCTACCCATCGGTAAAGTCTGTAAGCTTGATGTTCGACGACCCCGGCTGAAGATCATGAGGTTAGCTTCTCAAGGAGTCTGCGCTCAACCAGCATGGTTACTAATTCTTTGTCTGGACCTTGTCAACTAGGGCTAGAAGTCATTAGTTTCCTAAACATCCTGCCTTCCCCTTGCTAGGACCAGAAACAGCCCGTAACAACCAAGTATATGATTGCAGACGCTTGTGGAATATAGTTGAGTTTAACAAAGTGAAGTTAAAGCAGTATACATAAAATATGACACCCTCAAGGTTCAATCAAATATCCAAAATAAGTGCTACTCGTATACTTAAACGTAAACCTATAAATTGTTACAACAGAATCCTACGTCATAAAACTAGGTTAAACATGGTTTACTACGTACTGATTCAAATAGTAACAACTGGACAGACTTACTCCGTGCAGGTGGTCATGGTAGAAACTATCACACTGGTTGCAATGCTTTAACCGCTAGTAGCTATAGACGTATTACTAGTAGATGTTCCAAAAACTGTCTTTGTTACTGTCTCAATATGATGGTGATGTATTGTACGAACGTCTGACTTGGTTGGTGTAGTTGTAGGTTCAATCAAAAAAACCAGGGGCGTACTTTTGATATTAGACGTCAAAATTAATTCCTTAGATTTTGAATTGGATTCATCACGAAAAATATTATTTTGAACAGATGACGTAATATTAGATTCTTTAGTATCATCACTTCGGTTGATCGTCCTATTAGTCATGACATAGTCTGTAGAGTTCGATAGCGGCGCTAGAGATGTAGTAAGTGATATCACAAGAGTTGATACTATCACTAGTACTGAGCTATTTTGTAGAATTGGAGCTAACGTTGGATTCATAGACATTGTTGTTGCTGAAGCCTCGCGAGATGTGTCTTTTGATCTCAGAACTGATATTATTTCCTTATTCTTGGGCCGTGGAGAGGTACAAACTCCATTTAATTTTAAACAATTGAACTTTCCTAGCTCTACAATCGGAGCACTCTTGATGTCATCTACTGACACGGCAACTCTGTTTTTTGCGTTAAATAATTTTTGGAAATACTCCAAGAATTTTATTCCTATCTGATCACTGCATAATTCTATTATTCCCCATTCATGGTAAACCTGACGAAGATTCGGTTGGAAGCAAGCTATTTTTACATCTTCGATCTTTTGGGCAATTATTACAAGTTGTGTACCAGCAGTGCCAGAAAAAATTCTATTGTTTCCTCGAGTCTCGAATCCTTCCGGTATCAAGATTAGAGCCGATGGCTTAAACCCTATGAAATGATCAAGTGAGTAAGAATGCCATATCTGTAGGAATATAAAGGGAGCTTTTACCTAGAAGAATATCTAGCTTTTTCCTAATGTATGACTCGAATTTATTTTTAGAAGTTTTGCCATTGAGTCTGGGCACGGGCTGAGATAAGGTTGTAAGTGATGATGCTATTTGTATCTCTAACTTGCTCATGAGAGACGTAACATTGAGAAATTCAGCTATTTCTCGACTTGTGGTGGCTACTATAAGGCCATTTAATAGATGTAGACATAATGTAGAAAATATAGCCTGTCTCAAAAGATATTTCATTCGCATATTTGAAGTTTGATATCAAGATAAACGTATATCGTAGCAATAAAGTCTTTGAAGTTGAGATATGCCTTTATCAAAACTTAAGATAATTTGTGTAGTCAAGCTTGGAAGATGAGAGCCCGCCATGATATGAGCCTTTCCTTCTTAAATAATTAAAACTGCTTGTGATATAAGTGGGATAAGTCATATTGCCTTTAAATAGATTAATTCACATGCCTCAAATCCTGACATGATAAAAATAATACATTATTGCCCATAATTCATGACTTTACTAGCAGTGGCAAGATTTCCACATACTGTAGAATAATGGTGAAATCATGCTTACATCTCGTAAATAATCATTGCAACAATACCAGACATTTTCGTCTCCGTCAAATCTTGGGTAGATAGTACACTTATCATTGATATGTCTTTAAAAATGTATATGAGCTAATGTACCTATAGCTCTGGTATAAAATTTCCGATGCGTCTGAATAGATTTGATGGAGAGACCATACCAGATATGTCATGACACGAGGTTGGAGGTCAAGTAATAGGTTTTAATCCCTAAGACACGTCTTAGGGATCCACTGTAGCTAGCAGATAGAACGATTTGACTAATACGTAGTCTTTGATATCGTATTTTGCGCCAATATGACTTGAAATTTCAAACAAAAAAAAGATAATGGTAGCGCCTCACTCAACAGTACATCTCAAACCAATTATATTCACATCCTTACGCCTCTGCGACTGAATTGATTGTTGAGAGAGAAGTTAGCTATAGCTCTTATTTGTTTCAAATTTCAAGTCATATTGGCGCAAAATACAATATCAAAGACTACGTATTAATCAACTGAATCTATCTGCTAGCTACAATGGATCTCTAATACGCATCTATGCGTTGGGATCTATTCACTAGCCTTCTACCTCACACTATGACAAGGTCTTTCGTAAATGGGATATCATATGCTTATTCGGTGGACCTAAGTTCTTTCCTAGGAATACAATCACACGATATTACCTCGTGATCCTCTGCTGAAAAACATTCATATTAGTAATGCGCCTGTCCTCGAGAGTGGCTGTGGAATAAAACCTCTTGCGCTAATTGCAGCTAATAGATAGTTCATGTTAAAGAGCGGTGTATTGAACCTTTCAAGATACAGGGGGAATGTTCTGAGATCTTGCCTAGAGTTCTCCGAACGAACGCTGCTGATCCAACGGAAGAATATCTCGGCAATAGCAGCACGAATGGTAACTGCATACACTAACGACCAGGAATCCACTCCAGTCGCCGGAAAGAAATTTGACCCAACAAAGTGGGGAATTGGGTGATCACTAAAGGTGGCTGTAAATTCAATGGCGACACTAAGCACGCTTTCGACTATGATACGGGCTGTTCCAGTTATCCAACCAGCCATGAAAACGAAACAAGACTTTGAGAATTCTCTTGCATAATTCTTTTAAAAAGTAACTATAACGTTAGGAGTGCAAAACTTGCGGCGAGAGTAAAATCAGTGGAACAAAAAACACCCCTTGTGTGAAGCTAGACTATGATATCGTGGCAAACTTATGGATTATATGGCTTGAAAGTTTTTTCTCATTCTAATATGCCATGCAGCCTTCAGGCTCAATAAATTAGATACCGAATTGGAAGATTATCGAGAATGAATCAAGTTAACATGCTTGTCCCGTCGGCGATTTGAAAAAGTCGATACATCAAAATATGTCTCAGAGAGACTCGTACAGTGGTTGCAGTGGTTAGATGACCCTCCAATTTTTTTCAATCTATAAAATTAGATAAGCTTGTCTGTTGCAAGTCATTAGAATTATTCATATGGCCGGAGTTATTTGGAGTCGGTGGACCTTAGATTGCGTTGACTTATTCTTTTGATTTATTGAATCCGACATTCGGTTAATGCTTTGTCCGAATGTAAGGTAGATAGAAATTCTATAGAATCAAAACAACTTATTACAAATCAACCATTAAAACCTATTTCTACTGATCGATAGTCTCAATTATGCACTTGAGTAGTCTTACAACTTTAAGTGAACTTGTCGGTGCATATGCCCCAAGAGGCCCGATAGGGGGGTGTTATGCCTCAGGTATAGATGGATAGAGATGGTAGCAATGCTTTGGCGGCGTTTATAACACCTAGAGGTAGATGTCTAAAACAACCATCACTTTTACAATAGCAACACCATCCTCGAAGAGCTAATACTGAGGACCTGTGCGCGGTTTTTTCTGCGAACCTGTGAGTGAAAAATTCTCCCAAATCCAAGTTCAGTCAAATTTCCCAGTATTAAAGAAGTTGGCCTACGAGGCAATGATTCAAAATACTCCACCACATCAATTTTCCAATCCCAACGAGTTCGAATCCTACCTAAACCTCATCAATTCTACACGTACGACCCATTCCATTGTCGTCCTAATGATCATACCTCTTGTCGACTTTCTCTGGCCTCAGCTCGTCACCAAATACACGCCCACGCCGATATTTACACCCGACGGAGAAAACAAAGCGTGGCGCACAAATATAGGAAACAGTTCTTTGGGATAGGCGTGAGAGGAATCTGGACAAGTTGATAAGATGATGCGAAGAATGGATACAGACTCGACAGGCGTGTCATTTTGAATTTTGGCAGGGAGTTTTACGAATTGGGCTTTGTGCGCGCCAAAACTTCGCTTGCGAGAGTGCAGCTGACACTATAAATACAAGCCAACGATGGAAGGTGCTGTTGTCCGCCTCTTTGTGGTGGTGTCTGGTGTAGTTTGAGTAGCTTGGGTACCTACTCCACTTGGGAAGGAGACATCTCAGATTACATTTCGCGCGGAGAAAATTTGATGGATGACGGAGGCATGTCTGGATAACTCAGGATTTTTGAGACGTTCCCCTGGGTGGGTATTCACGGATGAGGGTTGACTTAGGGTGAAGAAAAAGCCGCCATAACTTCGTAGTGGTACTTGCAAATAAAATCTGAGGCATGAGTGCTCTTCTTGTAAATTGAGTCATCTATTATACACTTCTCTGATATTGTGTCATAGCTAGATAGCTGCATACGCAATTAAAATCTGATGCAAAAATAATAAGCATATGATACACAATTATCTGATTTCAAAAAAAGAAATCCTTATCTCGTCTAGTTGTCCGACGCGAGTGTGTCTTTTGCCGGCATTGGCATGTGTCATGACTAGTTTTTACGAGTTACTTTAGAGCAAATGAGAGACTCTGCGGCGTCTGCGCAAACAGATTGTTTTTATCTGCCTAGCTGGAGCTCTACTGCGTGTACTCTGACCTGGAGTTTATGGCGATTCTCCTCATACTTTTTAGGCACCACTTCTTCGGCAACTGTAAGGATGCAATGTGCTTAGACTTCGACTTTTCTCTTCGCAACTGAATCTACTCAACCTGCTGCTCGATCTCTCCAGGCCTCTCCTAGCAATTTCGCTGCAAAATAACCAATCTCCATCCTAAGCTCTCCAGCTACACTGTAAAGTCCCGAGTTTGTTAAGTGTGAGCTTTCAGCGCTAGCTTCCATGTCTTCGCCAGAAGTGAAGCGTCCTTATATACGTTGTTCCAGCGACATTCACTCTTCGGGTCATGCCAAACCTCCTTTGTTTCATAGCATCACTTGTATTGACCTTCTCACACTGCCACCATGCCCTACAACATTCTTTTTGACACTGCATCGTTGGTCATACTATTCCCTTCAATTTTCCCAGCTATGCAGGCCTGCTCCCCTTTCTGCAGCGGAGTTTTATACGGAGATCGCTTCTCCACGGACGTTCAAATTAGCGCATTCATGCTGTTGTGAAGAAATGGCAGTATCAGGAATTTCTAGAAGCTTCCCTAAATTGAGAAGTGATGGCTCCTCAGAAAACAATAACAAACAATCCTCCCAGCTTGAAAAAGATTTCATGGTGGATCTTAGGTGATGGTTTGCGGGTAATTGTCTATTGTGCTGCTTGAGTGATAGAGTATCTAGCACAGTGAGCTCCTCCTCTGACCCAGGCCACATCTTGAACAGAACTACTATCCTCTTTTGAGACTTCAAAGATTATTGACATGTTGCCCGTGAGGGATAGCCATTCCGCTCAGTATTTACCCGCGGAATTCGGCCACCTTTTCCACGGAACCTTCTACCCAAAAAAAATAAAAATGGTAGCAATGGAAACTGCGTGTGCGGGAAAAAGTCACAAGAAACCTGCAGCCCAGCCAGGCGAGGCCTAGACACCGGGACCACACGAGGTGCGCATATCTATTTATATCTCCCTTCTTTGTAACGATCGAGGTCGACTTGATCCAATCCGCCATCTCCGTATCGGGTGCTTGGTACGCCCCAAAAACTCATCGGATTGCTTTTCTCCCATGATCAAGGGTAGGTGATGTGAAGAGATTTTACCCTACCATCTGATCTGATGGTGGTTAGCTTCATGGTAATGGTGATAGGGGGATGTGTTGAGATATGAAGACGATACAGACCGCGAAAGCGATTGGGAATCCTCATCGAAGTGAGGACTTTGTTACTCAATCTCGGCTCTGCAGACTCTACGGTAAGAGCTGGAGGTTTGTAGGAGACACAATCAACAGGTGTTGAGTTTCCGTCCCCCATTGGTTTGTATAGATAGCACTATATAAAATGGTGTTAAAGTATCAGTCACTGAGCCTCAGAATACATGTGACTTGATTTGTAAGCTGGGCTAAACTAGGGTCTATAGAATGTATAGTAAATGTAGAACTTAGTAGTTAGTACAATAATATACGCAGTCAGCTTTAGGCATTTACCAGCAGTACAGTTTTCTAACCATATCTTCCTTCAACAAATGGCTATGCTTTCAGGTGTAAAAATGGAAAAACCTGACGTGTAAAACAGGTAGGGTAGGGGTTATCAATAATGGGTCTACTGTGCAAATTTAACCTATGGTTTGTGCTGACCAAGGGAGCCAACTGCACAAGCCTATAGGTCGCTAAATCAGCAGCATCATATCAAACCAAACATTCATTGGACACATGGTGTTAAAATTACATGGCATTTTGATTTACTGCTGACCGAGAATTTGCTTATCAAATATTTCCATAAACCATAGATTCATTCATAAGCCTTGGTTTTTCTTCTCATAAACCACATAAATTACTTTGCCCCAATCTCATTCAAGCATTCCACATTATCATCATCATCATTATTATTCCATCAGGATATTTGTCATGGTTCACCCGTGGTTTGGTCCTGCAGCTCCCTGCGACGGTCCCGCCAACGGCATCCAACCTCCTAATACGGAATCAATTTTTAGTCTAGTCCTCAAGAATCGGACTAAGTCACTTAAGGCCTGGCCACCAATCAATAAATATTCATTCAGCACAACCACTGCTTTCTGCACATTCCATTGCTTCATGTCCCCTTTCAGCATGCGATCGGCTGTCGGGTTGCCGATAAAATACATGCGTCCGATGACAACACAAAGTTCTCGTACACATTTCTCCCTCGTGGCGCCCTGTAACAAAATGGTCCAGATTGGATCAATCTTTTCTTCGTTTCGCCGGACAAGGGCCTGAAAATATAAGCTCTTTTTTGGTGGCAACTTACTAATAAGTCTATTAGAGATTGAGCTCAAGTTCTGGGATGGAGGTTTTGGAAAATCAAAGATGTAGCAAGTTGCTTGGTCACTACATTCAACGCTAGGATTCTTTCCACAGGCGAGAGAAACTCTGTGGTGCAATGATATGGTACTTGCCGAGATATAAGATTTGCTTGAATGCCGACGAATCAAATTTCCACTGTCTTTAGTAAGTGTTTCAGGGGTTGAGGTTAATCGGGAACAGGAAGCGCGTGATAAGGTGGAATGACGACGAGACGACGGCTGGAAGGCGCGGGAGCTGGACCGTTCAGGGATAGGAGGTCTCCATTTAGGGATTTTCTGGAGACAATCTGGAGCAAAGGTTTTGCCTAAAGTTGGTGAGGATTGCGCAAGAAGAAAATCCTTGCTTGTCGAAGAATCTTCTATTTTAGTAGCCGTTGGTGATGTAGATGAGCGTCGGGGAGGGCGTTTCCCTGTATCTAGTGATGGATAAGGACTATATTTCGGAGATATTTGGTCTAAGCGAGCCTTAATTCGAATATGGCCCGATCGTAGATCTTTGGAGCTTGAGACAGTTGCGACAATTTTTTGCATTGGTTGTGACAGTGAGTTACGATGTTGATGTGAGAGATTTTGGTCTACACAAGCTCCATGGGGTTGATATGGGCTCTTATCATTGCTGCTTCTGAATAAGTATGTCTGCGTCAGGGTAGTTTATAGTATATCTTACGTTACGGGGCAGTTCTGGTCTGACTTTATCTTGTGTATTACCTCACTTTTCGTAATTGCTGTCGCCTCGTCATATGAATCATGAATGTTTTTATTCTTAGAAGCGCAATTTTTTGGCTTCCTAAGCTTGCGCCGGGCGACGGGCAATTTGCAAAGCGAAGTCTGTCTTGGGAATATACAGAAAGTCAGTGTGAACATTGATGCGTCCATAAATTTGATCATTTCTTGTTTCGCCTTGGGAAGCCTCTCAAGTTTTGACATGGAATTGAGAATGTGGAAAGTTGAATTTACTAAGTATGACTGCCAAGAGGAATCTTCTAAAGTTTTCTAGGATGCGATTCCGAACATCTTAGATCTGATCTCGTTCCACTACCTTAAAGTTAGCCTAGGTTTAACAATCAGTGCCAGTCCATGCCAATTTAGAGGGCTGTAGCTTGAAACATGCTTCCCCGGCCTCATCTATTGAGACCCATGCCAGTCTCAATGCCTGTTCCTCTTCTGGAGCCTTATCTACCGACCGATAGGGACCCTTGAAGGACAGTTTTAGAGACAGCTTGGACCTCCTACATCTTCTGCCCCGGAAGTCGACAAATCATACGCTGTAAATGGTGGTAGGCTATGTAACCCTCTCTATCCACCGGCCTCAGCCGCTATGAGTCCAAGCTGACGCACAGGTGGTATCCGTTCTGGATTAGCAAAAAAAAACGGCAAGAATTACCTGAGCTATTCAACAGGTGCCGCTAGCTATCACACGGCTAGCTTGCTCACAGACGTTAGCCCGAAGTCTATCCAAGTTAGTTGAATTTGGTTAGCTAAAGACCCTCAAGTGATCCTCACAGGAGAGAGCGTACTTTTCAGGTTAAGCATCAGTGCTCTTTCCCGGAATGATTTTTATTTTCTGCTTGGCTCTTGGGCTATCTTTGATGGAGGCAATGATTTCCACTGATGAACCGAATTACTTGTTCACCGAGTCAATAGATAATGTAGCTAGTAGTCTCACTTTCGCAACCGAGATAATTGTAATGGCAGATCTTGTTCTGCCCCATCACCGAAAAACGGAGATGAAATTGAAGGAAGGACCCTAGACGGCCTGCCTGCACAATTTCCACGTGGTAGAGGTCTGTGATGATTGCCTAAACTTAGACCCGTATTACGCAGAGTATGTCCCATGTTTTAAATTCTTTAATCGTTATCGAACTGTTTAGAGTTCTACTGGGTTTAGGAGGTGGTACTGTAAGCTCCTCTCAAGAATATCATATTAGCTCAAGTTTGTCTCAAGTTCTATATGACACATAAAAATTAGTCACAAAGTCTGAGCGGCATTAGGCTTGCGGTTGCCGTGGGCAATAACGACTATTGGATAGAATGTGAAGGACTTTGTCGGCTAGGGATATTTCTGCCAGAATATTCACAACTCACCCGAGCAATCTAATGCCATGGATAGAGGCATATAGCATGTAATTTTCTAGACCAGTCCTTATCCAAATATGGGTATACAAAAGTCCCATTTCCACGTTCAAAAAGTCGCCGGAGGCTGAACTTCCTGCGACCGTAGCAGTAGAGTATTGGCTAGCTCTTTTCCCCCGCAGAGACATTCGTACTGAAGTACAGGCTTATCTTGAGACGCACTATTGTTCGCTAATATGTTGATAGTCTTTGTTCCTCACGAATGTAGTCATTTGAATCATTTGCGCTGATTGGAGAATTAAAATTATTATCGCGTCGATAAACTTAATAGTCTGTTTTTCGAGGAACACTCTGAAGTGGTAAGTTGTTGTATAATCCGCTCTTGTGCGCTTGTGGGAAAGATCGACTTTCTTCCGAGACTAGTAAACGATGCAGGCTGCGGCAGGGTCTTACCCTACACTCGGCATTTCCAATCCTGCATGCCTTTGCGCTGCAAAGAGCCTAAACAATCTACTTCCTATTGCCTAATTTGGGATGGTTCTCGCTGAACCATCAAACACTACCTTGCATGCTGCAGCGCGGATGAAATTGGAATTCAAAGTACAGTCAGACCCCCGTTAAGACGATATTTTTTCCAGATCGAACTTCGTTCCCATACATTTACCGATTACACGATTATCGTTCTTCAACCTTTGCATATCGTCTTAACCAGGTATTTTTTTGCTAGATTGGCGCTAAATATGCCGCCAGAGAAGGGAATTTCTGTGGAGCAAAGATATTCTCTGTATGACGATATTTTTCACGGCCCCGATTACATCGTCTTGACAGGGGGTTAACTGTATAAGGCCGAGTGACGACGATGAGCCAAACGGAGATTTCATACCTTGTCATCTGCCAGTCTGAAGCTTTGACATGTTTCAAGTCCGGCACTTCAATTGTCCAACCCGTTTTTGCACTTGTAATAACAAGTCCTGCAACTAATATCTATCGGGAACCCGAAATACTGCTTTCAAGGATTAATTTATTTAGGAGTCAGGCTGCTCTGGGTGTGTCGCCTCTTGGGTCCCATCTTAGGTTGCCCATGGAGCCAAGTTTATCCCCCATTATTCAATCCAGAGGGAGATCTGCGTTGACATCCATTGTGTATGAGGGGTTACATCCGTATGTGCCATTTCACTTTATAGTGTGTCGCAGGCGTGCATCTCTCAGCCAGCAGTATGTAGGTCGTCTGATAAATGATACGATGATAATTGATTGCCCAGACATAATTGCATCAACTTTTTCGTCAAAGGGCCTGGCAACAATGGACGAGTTTAGCTGAATCTAATACAGCTAATTCTCACTTGCGAAGATGTGGAGAAATGCGTTCCCCTCTGAATCAGGCTGCACCTTGTATAGTGCTCCTATCCTCTTTTTTCACTTGAAAGATCATTGATATATTCCCCTTGATGAATAGCCATTCAGCTCAGAATTTACCTGTGGAATTCAGCCTTATTTTCCACAGAGCCTTCCCCAAAATAATTAAAAAAAAATTATAGCAAAGGAAACTGAGTACGTGAGAAAGAGTCACAAAAAACCTGCAGCCCCAGCCAGCGAGATCTAACTACCGGAACTACATGACGTGCGCATATTCATCTACATCCACCTTTGTAAAAGATGATACCATCTTGATCCAATCCACCATCGCCGTATTAGGTGCTGGGTACGCTCCGGAAACTCATCGAATGGCTTTTCCTATATGATCAAGGGTGGGTGGTGAGAAGGGCTTCGAACCTTCCATCTGATCTGATAGTGGCTAGCCTCATGGTAGTAGCGCTGAGAGATGAAGACAATCCGGACCGCGAGACTGACGGAGAATCCTCATAAAAGTTAGAATGGAGGTGTTACTTGATCTCGGCTCTGTGGACTCTATGTTGAGAGCTTGGGGTTCGTAAGGGACTAGACTATTAGGGATCTGCTTTGGAGCCTATCATAGATGGCTACTCAACAGCGGCTGAGCCTAGCCTTGGAGGTCTGCGGAAGGTTTATTCCGTGCAGTAGAAGTTTAAGGTTTAGCGGTAACAAACTGTTACAAGGTGGAAAGATTATTACTAAGCAAGCTCGTCAACCAAGGCTCGTCGCATCCATGCTAAGTTTAGGGCGGGACGAGCCGGGAAGTCCTTGTCAGTGACCTCAGCATGGGACCAAAGGCTCAACACTCAAGGGTGGGGGGGGTTTTTCTTAAAAAATATTATTTGTGTTAAACTTTAGTGCAGCAGACCGATTGTTGTGTAGCAACTCAGTTAAAAAGGGATAGTCTCTAGTCATCACAAGATCTTCTGTCTCGCGATGCACGCCTAGTATACTAATCTCTACCTTCGTGTGAAAATTACGACTTGGTCTGAAACTACCTATTTCAATAATTTGATTTGGCTGCTAACCGTCTGCTCTTGGATACGCCCAAAGCGTCTAGCTCAGCAAAAACCCTTAAATTCCGCAAGATCGCAGTGAACTGGAGAAGGAGGTCTCGCGGCCAAAATACGAGGCCTGGGGAAGTAGTTGTTCGATGGTGGCCAGGCCACGCAGGTACTCTTGGAAACGAAGTTGCCAACGCTCTCGCTAAAGCCGCCCGTGCGGCTCCAGCTCCACACGCAGAACTCTCCATTGCGAGGGAAAGAAGAGAAGCCAAAGCTCAATATGAGGCTTCCGTAACAATCTATTGGGCAGAAATTGCACCTTCTAGATACAAAGAACTAGGTATTGGCCCTAATACTAAGATCACGATTGAGCTCGCCCGTCTGGGGCGAGGCGCATTAGGATATCTACCAGCTGCACGGTCCGGTCACGGCGACATCGCGGACTACCACCGACGCTTTCAGCACGAAAACGCCATTCTAACCTGCACATGCGGAGTAGAGAAGTCCCCCGACCACTTTTGCTGTTGGAAATCTAGACTTAGCTGCATGAAGGTTTGGATTTCCAAGTATGATCATCAAGATCAATTCAATTGATCCGGTTGCATATGGTTAAGCTTAGCTGGGCGACACGAGGTTCAGTGGTATCTGGACTGCAGTGGCTAGGAAATGCTACCTTGCGAAATTGAGTGGCTGGTTGTTGCCAGATCACTGGGAGTTTTGGATCACTAAAGCCTTGAGGACCTATATTTAAGGATAGACTTATTTGTACATATTAAACTAAGTCAACGAATTCTTATATATTATTAATTCATATTGAGAAGAGAGTTCGATATCCTATACAACTATCAATAAAGTCTTGTCCGAAATTGTACACTTATTCTTCGAGATATTTCCTCCTATAACTCCTTGGTATTTTCTAATATTTTCTATCGCTACCTCGGGCAGTACCAGGCTCAGCTCCATAGGGCACAGAACTCTAATCCCAGCGTATCTTGGGCTCTTGCTTCGGCGGAAGGACTTGATGCACTCAATAACTGGGTGCGTGTCACGAATTTCTTCGAAAGGGCACAACGAAAAGTGTGATTCGAACGAAATCACGATTTGATGTAGACAATTTCTTCCTTTATTTTTGTAAAATCTTTTCTTGATTTAGTACTAAATGAATAGCATGAGATTTTTTCGACGGAAGGTTTCCATGTATATTATAATCTTCGAGCGCAGGATGATAAGATCCTGGCTATCATTTGCTTTGTTGGGTCTGTGAAGGCGCCAACACGTCGGGTATTTTATTTTTATATTTTTATTGTTTTTTTGAATTTGATTTCAATTAACCCGATCAGGCACCCTATGGGTCCATGCAGGTGACTATCTACATTATTTACAAAGGAGGAAACCAATTTGGTGAAAACCCCTTGATCCTGTCTTTTTATGTTCCTATCAATATATTTGGTTTACCTT